CTTTACACGACTTTCCTCACTCCGACCCAGGTGTGAATGGGTACCTAACTTCGGTTGGGGAAAGTCGTGTTGAGGTCACCTTGTTGCGCCGAATGGCAGCCGCACAGACCCTTGCGACAGTTCCACAACAAATATGTGTATTGTGTATTATTTGATTGTTGTTATTTGTATTGATTATATGTGATACCCTGCATCAATTCAGCCGTATAAAGGCTGCGACTGCACGGGTACTGTTTGGACAATAAAACAATTAAAAAAAAGAAGGTCATTGTTACTAGAGATACTTTAGAATCTCCCCAGTCTCTTTGTTGATTGATGTGTCGCTACAATAATAGTTTATGATGATGAATAGTTTTATAATGACGTCATCTGTCATCACAAGTCGTCTTGTGTCAATCACTCTGACGTCACTCCCTCATCGACTCGTACTGAATTCCACCTTCTCCTTAGACATGACCTCTAAATTAAGCAAGACTTTGAAAAAAAAGTTAAAGTTAAAGGGCCTACCCGCGTCAAGTGCACGCATGGCGCGGCGCCCAACTCGGTTTTCAATAGCCCTGGGCCACACATCACTAGGGGGCTGGTCCAACGTGTTTTTTGATGTGTGTTCAACTTCCATGCATACTCTTTCCAAATGTTGAGTGCTAAGCAAAGAAAGCAGTATGTGCCATTTTTAAAGTCTATAAGTATATAATATGCATCATCACCATTATTACCTTCGCCAAGAAGGTTATGTTTTCAGGGGCGTTCGTGTATGTGTGTGTGTGTCTGTCTGTCTGTCTGTCTGTCTGTCTGTCAACACGATAACTTGAGAAGGTCTTGATGGATTATCTTGATACTTGGTAGGTGGGTAGGTCTTGATGAGACCTCAAAATGATTAGATTTTGGGCCACCTGGCGGCTTGTCATGGTATTGCAGCAGAACTTCCGGTTTTGATATTTCATGATCCAGACATGCCAGGGTGACGAAATTTAGATGGTAGATAGCTCTTGTGCCTGGGATAAAGTGACATGAGTTTGAGCCCCCTAGTTGCTTGCTCTAGAACTGCAGGGGGGTTTAATGGACAAATGTTTAAAGGGGGATAACTCAAGAACCGATTGATGGATCATGGTGATTTTTG